TCAGCAGGATCGAATTTGACTTATGTTCTACATGGTTCAAGATCCATGTTGTTAGCTGCAAAAGAAAAGTAAGTTATTGTAGGTAACGACATCTTACGGTATTGCTGCTTTCGGCCATGATACCGATAATAACGATACAATGATAATTAGGCTAAAAGTTAAATGTTCACGTAATTCAAATTCGTTACCTGATCGATACCGCAATTTATTGCCTTGTTCATTTTTCAGAGAAGTATGAACTCACGATCCTGAAAATTAGGCGTCACTTTTCCGGATTGGAAGGAAGCTTCTTTGTGTTTGAAATATATCGGGATCCCGGGATCCTGAACTAGTGGCATCTGTAATAACAACGTTCGCTCTTGCAGCTCGCCCTATATGTATGCGGCTACGTGAAATGGATTTTTGGAAGCCCGTTCGGACGTGATTAACCACATTTTCGCGGGTATGCTGACTGAGGAGCGCAATCATTAGTAATAATAATTTCATGGACAATAATTATTTTATCACAATAAAATTAAAGATATAAATTTGAAGAAGAATGAAAACGATATTTGATATTCTTATTTATAAATGACGTATCTAATTAATATTTAATTTTTTTGATACATTTGTGTAAGAGATGTGTAAGTGAATTGGATACTCCATAATAAAAAAAAATGAACCGAGTTATCCACTGATTATAATACATAACGTTGTTTAATTGCCATAGTAAATCCGATATAATGTTGTTTATTATTCAATAAATCAATTAATAACAACCTCCTCTGTGGAGATAAGTATTATTCCTACTTTATCTCCTTTAACACTTATTTCTTTTTAAATAATATATAACGGCAAATTTTTAAATTCAGTTCAATTATTTATAATAAAAGGTTTAACTGTATTGCTAGCGTGAATTTGCTGCTTTTAATTATATCTCAACACAAGATTCAAAGAGGGTAACAGAATAAGTAAATGGCAATGAGTAAATTTTGCTTTAAAGTAAGCACTTATAGTACAGTATAATTTCATGGAATATTACCTGCGAGTATTTAATCTAAATTCTTGATATATATTATGAATTTTTTCTTTATTATATTATGTATATAGGTTTTCTAATTTTTCTTCCAGTACAAAATAGGAATGAAAGTTGAAACTCATTAGTAATTTGATATTTGTATGTCAGGCATGAACTGCAAAGTTGACGATTGATGATGTCTTCGTGTATCTTTCTTATTCTCTGTACTGAAGTATGTAGGTATAGAAAGAGAGGAGGACAGGCATACTCTGTCGCCACCTTCTTAAAGCCAACCAAAATATTGTTTTACGTAAATATACGTTCGTGATGAACCACTTTTACCCTTTCCTTTTCACACCTTTTAGGTGCTAGAATTGTAAGTCATCACTATGTCATAAAAAATGGTAGTAGTTATAATTGCAGTCAGACATGTAATAATTATAGGCATAACAATAAGTATGTATCAATTTAATAAATTATCTATCTTTTAAAATAAATTTTTTAAACAATTCTATATGATAACGCATGATTGAATTTTAATAACAATAAATTAAAGTGAATAATGCTTTACTTAAAATTAATTTTGATTTTTAACAAATACTTAAATTGATTTCTTCATTACGTTTATATAATGAAATTTGCAAATAATTATAATATAACTAAAATTATCGTAATGTTTGCAGTATCATGGGGCTATATACTTCAAAAAGTATGAACGAATAAACGAAGAAGTGATCCATTAGGTAGGAAGCCCCAGCTGACACACCCTGACGCTATCAAAACACGCCTTAAAACTTATATTCCTGCGTAACGGCATCGTAGTGGTGGAAAAACTGCGTACGTGAGATAAAATAACAGAGTGTAGTTAACAGGCTTGGGTAAAAATATTCAGCCAGTTTCCACCATTCTCCCCATCCTCTCCTTTTCTCTTTCCTTTTTCATTCTTTTTCTATTTTTTTCCTCTCACTTCTAATTCTTTTATATTCTATGATTACGGTGAATTTTTCCGTAAATGTCTATTTTTCAAATAAAATATTACATCACTGGTTTTATGACAGCTTATGATATATTATTTTCGAGGAAATTGTAATTTTCTTAGCACTGAATAACGAATACCGATTTATATACATATTTTATTATATACGTCTAAATTTAAAAAAAGAAGATTTAATAGCAGAATGTACTTAATTAATTATAAAAAATATTACCTAATAATGTATTTCTCATAGAAATTTATTTTTTAATAATTTTAATAATTTAATAATTTTTTTTATGTAACTGATGCTTTTTTATGTAACTGGCTATGCTTGTTTTATAATTATGTGAAAATTAAACAGTACAACTGATATCAGCACCACATAATGAGTTTTATTTAAAACAATTTATAAATTTTTAATGTTTTGATATTATCTATCGCTGATATATTATCGACTTGATTATATAAAATCATAGTAATATCATCAGCATTTGTTTCTTTTTTTTACTAGAAGATGTCGCTATATCATTATTTAATACAAGTTGCATAATTTTTATTTTTATTAATTTAATATTGTTATTAATCACATAAATTATGTTTATTTAATTTTATTAAGTATTAATTAAAATGTTTGTGAAATTTTCAATTATTGTAACATTTTTTACAAATTAAACTATGCTAAACATTTGTGTAGTTATTGAAATATTATAGTTAAATCCTATTCGGTAAGCTCTATCAATAAACGTAATTAATAGAGTTTAAGAAAAATGTGTAAATTTATTCTTTTCGAATACTTACATATGAAAGGTACAAATTACATATTAACTTTTATAGCTGCAAGTGATATATTATTTTTGTATTTTTGGAATAAATTACAATCTGACGCAGTTTGTCATATTAAATGTTTGGTACTTTGCCAATATCATTACCATTAAAATTATTTATAACAAATCTTTAGTTGTGGCTTATATATTGGTGATGTTAATAGATTTTTACGTGTGATTTCAAATTGCATGATACAAATATGCAAAATTTTATACATTCAAAGCGACAATATGTCGTTTCACAAAAACTTCTTGGATCTGTGTTCAAATATAATCTAAATAAATATAAAATATGTAACACCATGTCTACAAATATTAATCTTACGTACCAGGTAAATAGGTTATGCTTTTCATTCTCATATCGGATAATTATTTTAATGATTTAATTTTACATTAATTATATTTAATTATTATGAAAAAATTTGTTTTAGTTATATGGAATAAAAACTAAGAAATTAATGCAAATACCGCTATTACATTCAAAAAATCAAAGTTTTGGAATTTATTTTCCAAGTTTGTGTAATGCAAGAAATTTTAGCACAAGTTCTATTTATTATCAGCAACCAAATGATCCTACAGAATCTAATAAAGATCCTAAAAAGGATAAATCAAATGACCCTAATGAGTCAGTACTCTTTGCAGTGAAAATATTTTCCGTGCTCTCATTTATAATGTTAACTTACTTAGTATTTGTTTCAATATCTCTCAATAATGTAAGTGTATAATATAAATTTGTAAATAATTGTCAGTTGAAAAGAGATACTTGTACACTGTATTATTTTATGTCAGTCAGCTGTAGTAATACCATGGCCTGATTTTATACATGAATTACTTTTGAAAGGACAAGTTCAAGAAATTATAATACGTCCATTTGATATGCAAATTATAGTGAAACCTGGTGCTACATATAAAGGAAAATCACTCGATTATCGATACATTGTAATTAAAAATAACCGTGATCTCAATTCTGTTGAGGATCAAATTAGAGCTATAGAAAAACGTGTTGGCATTAAAACAGGTATGATTATTAAATATATTTGGAAGAATAATATATATTATTTTATTTTGAAGTATAATCTTTTTATTGTTACTGTATTGAAATCCATTAAATAATTTTTAGAGGATGGAATTTCAATTAGATATGTTCAGAATAATACGAAATTAGCTATGTCATCATTGTTGTTATGGGCGATCTTCTTTGCTGGTGCATATGCGGTTTATCGTCATCCTCTGGTCAAGAAATCATTGAGTAACATTATGCCTTTTAGTAAAGCAAACTATACATTAGTAGAACCTTTTCTTGGCAAAGGTGTTCATTTTAAAGATGTGGCTGGTTTAAAAGAAGCCAAAATAGAAGTCATGGAATTTGTTGATTATCTTAAAAACTCTGAAAAATATACGAAACTTGGTGCTAAAGTACCTAAAGGTATTTTAAGTGTTCATAATTTAAAAATCTGTAATTGCTTTGAAATATTTTCTTCTATAATGCATTCAATATATTTTTAGGAGCCCTACTGTTAGGACCACCAGGTTGTGGTAAAACACTTTTAGCTAAAGCTGTTGCAACTGAAGCAAGTGTTCCATTTTTATCTATGAATGGATCTGAATTCACTGAACTAATAGGTGGATTAGGTGCTGCACGTGTAAGAGATTTATTTGCAGAAGCTAAAAAAAGGTTTTACTAATAATTTTTCTCAATTAAGACAATAATATTATTAATTCATTTGAACATATTTTCATATTATTTGTTTTTCAAGAGCTCCTAGTATTATTTATATAGATGAAATTGATGCAATAGGCAAGAAACGGGCAGATTCATATGTTGAAGGTAGCAACAGTGAATCAGAGAGAACATTAAATCAGCTTTTAGTAGAAATGGATGGAATGATAGCAGCAAAAGATGTTATTATTCTGGCCTCAACAAATAGATCGGAAGTTTTAGATAAAGCTTTATTAAGATGTGGTAGATTTGATAGACATATTTTAATTGATCTTCCTACCTTGCAAGAGAGAGAACAAATTTTTGAGTATCATCTCCAGTCATTATCATTGGAAGGCAAACCAAACCAGTATAGTAAATATTTAGCTCATCTTACTCCAGGTTTTAGTGGTATGTTATTACAATTATTAGTAATTATTAGTAATTGAAATCTTTTTTAATATTTTTACTTTAAATAATATTTTTGAAGGAGCTGATATAGCAAATATTTGCAATGAGGCTGCATTACATGCAGCAAGTGAGAAAAAAGTTAAAGTTGACAATAATGATCTTATGTATGCAATTGATAAAGTATTAGGTGGCACAGTAAAAAGATCTAGTACATTGACACCTTCTGAAAAAAAAACTATCGTTTATCACGAAGCTGGTCATGCATTAGCAGCATGGTTGTTGGAACATTCAAAACCTCTAATTAAAGTAACAGTAGTACCAAGAACAAATAGACGTCTGGGATTTTCTCAGTATTCCGATTCAAATCTGAAACTTCAAACTTCAGACTACCTCCTTGAATATATGTGTGTATTGTTAGGTGGTAGAGTTGCAGAAAATATAATATTTAATAAAGTTTCAACTGGTGCACAGAATGATTTAGAAAAGGTGACAGAAATCGCGTATCGTCAAGTGCAACAATTTGGAATGAGTCCGTCTGTGGGTTTAGTTTCCTTTGACAAAGAACTAACAACGACAGTAAGATACTACATATTCATAATTTACAAAATGGTAATACGTTATTAATTCATACATTTAATTTAATTTATTAACTAGAAGAACAAAAAACCATATAGTAAGAAATTGGGAAGATTAATGGATGCAGAAGTACGAAGAATAATTATCGAAGCATATAAAAAGACTGAAAAATTATTACAAGATAATAGGGATAAATTGATAATAGTATGTATAATTATCCTATATATAAGTTAAATATTAGATATTCTAGAAATTTCCTGTGGATTCGAAAATATCTCTTCAGTTAGTAGTTATTAAATTATATGTTATAGCTCTGTTTCATTTCTAATCTGTTCAAGCAGTTTTTAATATTAATTCATTGTAGTTTAGAAATTACAAATGTTTTCTGAAGTATGTATGTAACAAATCTCTTTACCTAAATTTGTAGTTGGCTGAAACACTTTTGAAGAAGGAAACCTTAACATATAAGGATATAGAAGCATTAATTGGTCCTCCACCTTTTGGAAAAAAAGATCTTATGGACCTTCAGACATGTAACCCAGATATTGAATAAGTAAAATTGATAATACGTACCACATTTTGATAGATACCTAATATTAAGTTCTATAGGACAAACCTTTCATAAAAGATTTGTAGTTCATTTCACAAAGAATAAAAGAGTAAAGAAAACTGTTACCTAATAATCAAATTTTAAAAAAAAATCCTTAAGATGAAACCAAAAAATAAAATTCAAAATTGATTTATTTAGTATAAAATGTTACTTTTTCCTTTTTTAGGACTCTTTGTCACATATAAAAAAAAATGTTCATGTCTGTATCATATAACAAAATATGTTATTATAATATATAAACATAATATATACATTTTATACACAGTGTATTCGATTTATTTGAAAATTTATTCGGAAATATATTTTAAACAAATGTTATAAAATATAAAGAGAATCATATTTATTTGAACCTGCAATAACAGTCACATTTGAACATTTAGATGAAAATATGTATCTTTGTATTGTATATTTTTATAATTAATGTTGAACTATTTTCAAAATACTATATATTTACGTTTTTCGTAAAAATCATATACTGTTAAAACTAAAATATCATTGCCTTTTTTAAGTCACTGAAAACAGTCCTACTATTTAACATATTTTTAATTAAAAACTATAATAAAAAAGAATATAAAAAAATAGATATTTATTAGAAGTAGATACGAGAGGAATACTTTTATTATATTTTCACTGTTTACAGCATATTATTTTTTATAAATAATAGAAACAAGTGTAAAGTATATAACATATTCTTGATGTCTTAAAAAAGTATAAAATTTGGTTTATTGATGAATTATGAATTTATTAAAAAATAATATGAGTAGTAATTAATGTCAAGAAATAAAAAGACAGCAACTTTTTAAGATTATACAAGTCTTTACAAATATTTAAAAGTTTTTGAAAACAAATATAGTAAACTAAATATCCAGTTACATTATACGGACAAAGTATTACCTTTATATTTTTTGCTGTGTAAATGAAAAAATAATTCAAATATCATGTTGCTCATTTAACAAAAATATAATAATATTTAATTAAATAAGAATATTGTACTTTTAGTTCAAACAGAAAAAATGAAACTTTAAAACAGAGGGTTTGTGTTGATATTGTCAAATTGATATTCATTAATGGTATTCTAGATAAGAATAAACATGTATATGCATCTTTTCAAAGAAAATCTAATAAAAAGTGCATATAAGATGCAAATACAAAGTACTTTTGATTTTTATTACAAAGCATAAAGGTCAAATAGTGCAAAATACTTATTATAGAAACTGTAAAAAGCAACAACAAATTCTAAACTAGAATTAGAAACGAAACTAAAAAGAAAGTAAAATTGTACAGTATTTAAAAAAAATGATTTTCAACGTCTTGAAATGTTTAAATTTTCTTATTCAACAAAATGAGTATTTTATAAATTTTTATATTGAAATTACACTTTTTTTGAATATTTGACTTGAAAGAAATGACATATAACATGAAAGGCTCTTGTTTAAAATTTATTGTATAATTAAATTTTGTTAGAAAAAATTTTTTATGTGTACATTCCTTTTGTGTTTTTTTCGTGTACGAAACGATGTGTACAGGGGTAGTACTGTGTCCGAATATTAACGCGAGTAACTGTATATTTGTTATTAATTACACATTATAGGAACAGTTGTTATTAACTGAAATAAATAATAACATTTTTGATTTGTGCTTTCATAGTCAGAATACTACTTTAAACACTATATCACATGTAATGGTAATTAAAACTCATATTTAAACAATAAGGTCTTTAATATCACTCTTGAGCGTACGTTTTAAATGCGTTCCATTCCAATATATCTTTCCACAGCGTTCACAAACATAAAAAATTTGTACATCCTTTAACACCTTTATTGGTACTTTATCAATTTGTATTCTTGTTTGGTATTTTGTTGAACATGTATCAACATTCACAGAATTCATACTAAGTATCCACGTACGATCCTCACATTGCAGTTCATTGTGTGTATATATATCATGTTGCAAATCATTACTCCTTGAATTTGTTGTTACATTTAAATGATATGTATTATCCACAGAATCCACTGGATTTAAGGAAATACTATAATTATTTTTACGTGATAATTTAACATAGCTGAAAAGTTATAAAAGTTTATTAACATTGTTTCCATGTTTAATGAACTTCTAGAAAGTTCTAAGTTCTAGAAAGAAAAAATATTTTATAAACCTTTTCGTGAGTTCATTCATTAATAATTTTGGAACTTTTGCAAATTCATCACTATTACATGCTTGGCATCGACTAAATATATCTCTTTGTGTAATTACAACTCCAAAATAGTTTAATACCTCCCGTAACTGATCTTTGGGAGTATTAGCCAGTACTTGGTAACAATCTTCAGGTGGTATGTATTGTAAAGACTATATTGAATATTAAATATAGTTAAAATAATTAATAATTGTCTAATAATTATTTATTTAAATTATTTAATAATTAATAATTATTATTTTATTATTTAAGCTAATTAAGATTATGAACTTACTTTAAAATATTTTTTAGTTTGAGTTAAAAGCACTCTTTGTTCACTAATTGCTAATTCGATAGATCGTTCTCCGTTCTGATCAAATGCAAAATGAACACAATCGCATCCACAAATTCGTAATTTGCTCATTAATCCACCTAACATTGAATCACAAACTACACGCCAATTATGTATTGGCATAGATTTATATTTAACCACTTCTTTACATGTTTCTTGTGTTTTACTTTCATAATTTATTTGTCTTACAGGTTTCGACGTGTTCACGTAATATGATTTATTTAAATTTCTGGGCTTTGTCAACATTGTTGATTGCATTGGTTTGTTAAAAAAATTGTAATTTTGGTATTTTGGTTTCCAAAAACTTCTTGACTTTTCTAATGGTAATTCTCTTTGGAAATTTTGTTGTTTATTATGATTTAATCCCTTACTCTTGATCAAATGGGACAGTAAGAAAAAGTTTACAAAGGAATCTAAACAATACATAAGTAATTAATTACTTATACAAAAGTTTACCTTTTGTTTAGGCCATTTTATATCTTTTTCTGGTGATTGATGTGGGATACATTGTACTTCGCAGCAAACATCAAAAAATGGTATGTCCAAATGTCTACATTGAATTTCTAATGCTGAATATATTTCTAATAAACAATAGGCATCTAATGCTATAATGTCATAATATATAATTATTATGTTTGATTATTATGTATGTATATATTATTAAAAGAAATTACAAAAGAATTACTAACCAGCATATATTATTTGACTTTCTCTTAGTGGCCTTTGCTCCCAATTAGAAAACTGATCAGATTTATTCAATTTTTGTCCAAAGCACAGTTCTACAAGCTTACTCAAATTTTGTTTAGTAAATTGTTCATTATTCTCGTATGGAAAAACAAATTTATAATCTTCAACCAATTTTTTCCATAAACATACGATATCTAGAAACCCTTGCCCATGTAATTTTACTTTCGATAATGCAGGCATGCTATTACGTATAACTGTTGTATCATGAGCTATACCAAATCCTATATCATCAATTTATGAAAATATAGATAAATAAATTGCGTTTAAAACAGAACTATTTTCATATAAAACTAAAGTAAATTTACCGAGTTTTAAAATATGTCTGTTTTGAAACAGAACTAATCCTAATTTAGTCCATAACTCTGTCAACTCATTTCCCATTGTAGTTACATCTAAGATGTATACATTGTTTATAGTAGCTATTTGTATTAAAGCTAATTCTATCTGTTTTGTACCTAATAATTAATGTAATAAAAATAAATTTACAAATTATAATATAGTAAAAGAAATTTACTTATTGATTTAAAATATTACCGAAGCAAGGTTTCCATTCTGAATCGATACCAACAATAGAGACATCTTTTAATCCATGATCGAGAAATTCTTCAAAACTACAAGGATTATTTACTACTTTAATAGAGTCCCTTGATAATTTTAATTCATAATAATTTATAGGGCCATTGTCAATTTCCCAATCATTCATCTTACTGGTTGAAGCTCCTTCATTTATACCTACATAATAAAATTTTGTAAAATAGTATATAGTTGGAATAACAATAATAAAGAATAATTATTACCTTCACATTCATTTAGTTCCTCTTCATATGATATTGACCATGGCCAATTTTTTTTAGGTATATTAAATCTTTTTGCCCAATATAAAGCTTCATTTGCATCCTTGTCATTAATTAACATTCTTATCATAGCAAGTTGTAACGCTTCATCATCTCCTACTGTATCTTGTACCAACTCCCTCCAACTAGCAGTACCTTGATTTAAAAATAGCTGACATTTTATTCACATTATTAGGTGACTTATATTATGTAAAAATCAACATACTTAAACTATGTTCCACATAACGTTTATGTATGAGGAATCGTAAGGCGCCTTCACATCTTTTTTTATTTAAATTAGGACAAAATTCTGGTGGCAGGTTATATAATTTGATAAAACGTGCTATTAGTTTAGTCATAGGTTTTATGTTTGTTGTAAACATCTTTACATCTGGTATATTATTTTTTCTATAATATATTAAAAATAGTATTATGCTTAAAATCTTTTTAACTTACATAGTGAAACTTACATAATTATATTATTTAGCTGGACATGCAGGCTACTATCAGGTCCAATTAAATTATCCAAATACAAGACTATAGCTTTCTGTAATTCAGGACAATTAGCTAGAAAATCTTCCACAATTACTAATTTATTCTGTAGAATAAGTGGCATTATTAAGGATTCTGGATTTGAAAAATAATTTTGTAATTGCAATATAATTGCATAGTGTGCTGCTTCTTTGTATTTTTTTTCTTGAATAATTTGCTGTAAAAGTATAGAATTTATAATACAATAATTTTAAACTTGATTATTATAATATCTTTATTTTATATTATAAAATACTATAATATATTTATAAAATCATAATACCTTTATAATATTAATAAATTTTTCTTTGTGTTCTATGAAATCATATGTAATTGCAACCATCTTAATTAATTCTATATTATTTTGTTTAATGATCAATCGAAATGTTGCTAGTTTTAGATCTAGAACCAGGAACTCTTTGTACATTTCTTTTCTTAATTCTAACCATTTTGCATATTCTTCTATGACTATAATGCATACAAATATATTAATACCTCTAATATCATAGTATTTTTATAACAATTTATATAATATTAATACTACGATAAAAGCCACGTATTCAACAAATTTTAGTAATATTACTCAATTAACAAATAAATTTATACATTTCTACACATTAATAAGTATAACCTATTTGTGTAATATAATTATTTTAAAAAATAAACCTGTGAATGCTAAAGATGAATTCTTTTTAATATGTTTAAAATCTGATATATTTACTAATATTCGTAATGTGCTCAAATATGGATTAGGTGCACTTTCAAAATACTCTACCAATGTTTTGCTCAAAACATTATCCTTCTTCCCTGTAAAAATATATAAAAAATAATTAATAAAAATAAAAAATTCTATTATTATAGTATAATGTATACTTACTTAATTGCCATATATGTTCCAAAGATTTAAGCCATTCCTTCGTAGCTTCGTCTACATATGAGAAAAATGTCAAAACTTCATCATTATTTACAGAAACTTTTACTACTGATAAATTATCAATGTGATGAGCGTTTTGAAATTCGTTTGACATTGCTTCTGTTGGTATATATTAATAGTATATTGATAAAACGCGTAATAAATAGTAATAATATGTTATGTTTACTAATTATTACCCTTAATAAAAAACAATTCAATTGGTACGTTTTACTTATTCCTTGTTTAATCATCAACTTATCTTTTACTATCACGGCTACCTTAAATTATAGTTTGAGAAAAGGAAGTTAATTCGGTGAAACAATTTAGTATAAAAGGGAAAGATAAATTTCTGAGGTTTACAATAGTATATATGCATGAAGCATGATAATAAAATTCCCTATACGATTAAATTTCCTATTTATAATTAGATATTGAGCAAGTTTAAAAAAATAATAGCTTCTTTATGACTATCTTCTTTAAAGTTTTAAACAAATTATATTCAATCATAAATAAAAAGCTTTATAACAGAATTTACAGATATTTCGAAACAAAATGAAATCGTTAAGACGATTTCTATGCAGATTCTAAAATTTGTCGTTTTAGAACACATGGTTGACTTTACATTTTGTTTATGATCAGTCACCGCTTATTATATCATTACTAGTTATAGGAGAGATTGTAATGATACGTAGTAAAAAGTTTGTGTTTTCTAAAGTCGAATTGAATTTTCTTCGGATTCAAGTTTCCTTGTTCTTTGACTATTTCAAACATGATGAAACATAAGCTGCCAGAAAATTGGATTGTATTAAATTCAAAGTCGCATCCGCATAGAGTTTACTATTTTAATGTTAAAACAAATCAATCTTCTTGGGTAGAACCAATAGGAGATCAAACAGAACAAGTATTTTAGCTTTTTACCTTTGTTATTGGTGTTAATAGAAGTAAAAAGTTGATAATATATTACTAGTACTTTTGGATTCATAATATTTTCTTATCTGTAGAGACTTACAAGCTACATTTATTCTTCAAGTTGTTATACTTTTTATAAATAATTTAGTCATGATTAATAATATTTCATTTTGTATTTATATTGTAATAAATTGTTTATTAAAAGTGGAACAATTACAAACAATTTTATTGTTTACATTACAAAGGACTCAGTTGGATGTTCAAAAAGGCGTAAAATATCATTACAAAAAGATGACATTAACCAGGTTCAGTCTATTGTTTCTGAACATAATGTATCTGAAGCAAAAATGTCTAAAAGAAAGAAACTTATTGATAAGCGTTCTATTGAACAAACACAAAAGAAAACTAATGAAGGAAAAGAAACTCCACAGATGAAAGCAATTCGTGAAAAAATGTTAAAAAGAATGGAAAAGAATAGTATTAAAGCTCAGAATTCTAAATCAACTAAGGATATGGCAAAATTATCACCTCAAAAGCTTGATAAATCTAGTTCATGGGTGCAAAAATCTGATACTCATTTAAATTTAGAAGTAACTCCTACGCCACAAATGCAGATACTTTTAGAAAAAATAGAGGAAAGAACACCAAAATATAAATCTAGAACGAAAAAGGCAGAGGAAGACAAAAATACAATATATAGGCAAAAGAAACCAATTAAAACACGATCAAGAAATCAAAATGTAAATGAACAAAAAACTATTTCAAAGGTTTCCTTAGAAAATAAAAATCAGAAAGAAGAACAAAAAGGTCCAAACATTGGTTAGTATAATTAGAGAAATTATGCTATATTGTTTTATTTATTTAGTTAAGAAGTTAAGATAGAGAAATACTAATTTAAATTATGTTATATAATAGCAACAATAGAAAAGAAATTACAGAATAAAAAGAAGAATAAAAAATCCAAGTTGAAAAGGCAGTGTAAAAAGTTGTTAAAAGTAAATTTAGGCAATGAGCGCATGGAAAAATTGAGGGAAAACTTAACAACAAAATATGATAGTTTGAATGATATTTCTTCTCCATTGGCAAGTTCTTCTCCATTAGATAAATTTGGTAATTATTGTAATATTTTTATAAGATTATAAGCTAGAAATAATTTTTCATTTTTTTTCATTTTCTATCTGCCAGTAGGGGAAAAATTACCAAACATTCATAAAAATGTTGAAGTTAGACTAGTACGTTTAAAAGAGAGATTTATAAATGATAAAATTTCTATTAATAAAAATTCATGTACTGGCAAAGGAGAGGAAACAGTAAACTTGTCTGAAAAATCAATAACAACTGTAGATGACTTAATAAAACAATCCAATGAAAATTCTTTGTATGAAGAAATGGATTGGGAACCATTGGAAGATGAAAAAATTACATTTGAAGTAATGTCAAGTATTTTTATAAATATATTTATTCAGTTGTCGTAAACAAATGTTTGTAGTAAATGATAGATGTATAAAAAAACATAATAGAAGAAATTATATATTTTAAGTTACTATAGTATAACATGCTTATGTCACTTAGGTTCAAGCTGTTAGAACACAACTTTGTTCAGGAAATAATTTGCATACATCCTGTAATATACCTTGCAGTACTTCAAAGTATGCCTTATTGATGGAGCAACAAACAAGAAAGTATCTGTATATTGTTGTTGATACAAATGTGTTCTTATCAAATATCAATGCTATTGATTTGGCAAGAGAAACTACTTTCAAAAGTTATGATCATTCAATAATTGTGGTACCATGGACTGTCATACGTGTAAATAATCCTTTATACTTTTTATTTATCTTGTTACTTTTTTAAATTTTTTAATTTCGTAAATTTTTGATTGTAGGAGCTTGATTATATTAAAGATGATAATGGCAAATCAAAATCAACAACATTGTGTGTTAAAGCCAGAAAAGCTATAAATTATATTCACAAACTTTTTTCTTCTAAAGAACCATATATTATAGGACAAACATCAGAAGACGTCGCAAGAAATAAAGTAAAATTTTCTGTTGACTGTCCAGATGATGAAATTTTACAGACTTGTTTACAAATTCGAGATTTAGGGAAATCCGTGGTAAGTTATTTATTCTGTAAGTAATTGTAAAATTTCAGTGTTATTTAAAATTGTTATTCCTTATTATTTAGGTCTTATTATCATATGATATGAATCTCTGCAACAAAGCTATGATTTATGATATTGTCACACTTGGGAGGAATGATCCCCTCGAAAAAATCGATTATCTCAATGCTACTACCTTTATAAATGAGTCAATATCTCATTTTAATAATGATACTACATCAATTCTAAGTCAGGAACTGTATTTATCAGATGAAATATATGAGGATATAAAAAGTGTTACAAGAGACTTTCTGACAGTAGTAAGTATAAACAAGATTTAATACGATTAGAAAGTACAAGACATAGGTGTATGGCAATAGATAATAAATTTTGGTACAGATAGTCAGCAAAGAAATGTATACATTATATGGAGAATCTTGGGAAAAGTATGTTGTTATAAGACCACCTTGGACAACTGTAACTGTTTTAAAATGTGCTGTAAAACATTGGATAGCTGCTATAAGTGAGTCATTTCGAAGAAAAGCAGGAGTTATTATGAAAGAACTGTTAGAAATATTTGAAAATACAACTGGTAATTTTAATATTATTTCAGTAACAATCATTTTTTTTCCGGAAAATGTTTATTAATGAACAAATATTTCTTTTTCAGGCAAAAGGTCTTTAAAAGAAAATAGTTATATTTTGAATAAGTGCAGCGACTTGATACAGATGGTTAATATAGACAAACATTCAGATTTAATGTTACGAATTTCTAGAAAGATTGATGTAATTTATCTCATAATTTTTTTCTACTAATATTGTATTAAAATATTTCGGAATAATTTGTATTTATAATATTATTGTCTTCTAGGAGTTGAAAGAAAAATGTCAAGATTATGAGTCTCGGATAAATAATCAAAAATTATGTGACGCAATTGGAATCGAAAACAATATTGAGGAACAAGAATGTAGAGCACAAAAAGCTTTTCAGTATTTTGAAATGGCATATGTTTATGCTCGTGACATGTGGTAAATTCTATAATTAACAATATCATTATATTGTTATTATATTATATCACATTAATATAATTATAATTAGTAATATTTATTTATAATGTGTTACTAACATGCTTTTTATTATTATTATTATACAGTGGAATGGCGGCTGAAGTGGTAGGAATGCCTTGCAGTTTTCAATATAATATTCCAAATCCACTTCCACCTATAGATTATGTAAAACAAATACAACCAGAACTTGCAGCAAATGTAAATAAACTATTATGTAGTCTGAGCGCGTAAGTTATTTATTAATAAATTATTTAAGAAATATTTTACACGCATTCTTTGTAATAATTATGTATTATTGTAGTGTAACAGAGCAAGTTAAAAGTTCTTGTATAGATTATCGATCATTAACAAATTTACATCAAACATTGATAACATTTCTACCTGAGTCTGCTCCAGCAGCAATGAAATTGATTGACATTGATTTAGTGCCTCTTGATATATATTGTTGCATAAAACGAAAGGAAGATATTCTAACTAGAGGTTTGCGACAACTGCAAGAACTCAGTACTCACTTTTGTAGATTAGCAAGCTATAAATGTACATAACCGTATATGTATAAACTAACTACTAAGGTTCTTTTGAATTCAGTTGCACTCGTTTGTTTACAAAGTACATGTACAAGTTTTGTTAAATATTAGTCTAAGTTTCATAATTATATAGTATAGTATGACTATAATACACTTTTATGGTAAATGGTATATTTTTAAACAAACTAAAAATATCTTAAACATTTTTATTAACAGTTCTATATAATACAAGAAGTAATTTTTGTACAACGTGGAAAATAAAAATGCACAGCCAGAATAGTGATACGTATGAAATTATGTTCCCTGGCAATCTTTAATAAAACAATTTAATCTCCAATAAAGCAATTTAATCTTCAATGGAACAATTTGTCAATATTCTGATAATTGGGCGTTATCTTTGTAAATTTAATTTCTGTATAACTTTGGAAATCCCTCTGAAGGTGGCTGTAACCAGTTTTCTTTCGAATAGGAGGTATGATGCGTCTCAATTACATGAAATGTGTAAGCATGCCTTGATTTGTTATTTTTATTTGGATACGAGAAATGTACTACTTGTCCATGAATGAGAATGCAGGTTCCTTTGCTAACTGGTACTGGCCGAAAATTACTAAGTTGATAACATGGTGCAGCTTTGTCGTAGACCAATAATTCTTTGGAATCTGGATTCTTATTCCTTACGTAACGTCGATGAACACCGCTTCGATGAGAACCTGGTGCGATCCACAGACATCCATTTTCTTGAGTAGCGTCTTCTAAAGCAATCCAAAAACCAACTAGTTTTACAGGATCAGTATATAAATATGTTGCATCTTGATGCATGATCACTGCAAAAAATATTATACTTAGTTGTTAAAAATTAAATTAAAAATAAGTTAACTTAATTTAAACATCATAAAAATAAGAACTTTTGTGATGTAACTTTTAAGGGCAAAAGTAATTTACGAGGAAGCGATGACAAGAAACATTTTTGGTTTTATTTGTAATAATCTAATTTGTTTCAATGTACCTTCTGATCCGATATGTGGATTTTTGTAAATGTACATTGATTGACAAACAGCCGGTTCTTCATAATCCAATTGAAAAACTGTTTCTTTAACTCTTTCGTCGAAAGTATACTTCTTGAACGTGGGATGAAGCCAATGAAGGGCATGACCTATCTACAATTGTAACAAAAAGAACAATCAATATTTGAATAAATACATAATAATTATAAATGTTTATTGTTTTCTTTAAATTAAAGTTTATTTTTTATTATACCTTGTTTAAGGATATTCGAGGATGAACTTTTAACTTCCCATCATTGTCTAGGGCTTCGGATTCGAAAAATACACTAATCTTGTTAGCGCTATCCAGAAAATATTTATCTTTGCTCTGCTATAGTAAATAAATTTAAGATATAAGCACGTGTCAATGGTATTTAATGGATAAAATATACTTTTTTATTTAATGTACCTGTGATTCTATTGTATTAAAAATTTTTCTTTCACTTTCGGGAGGTAAATTATTAGTGAATTCTTCGCCGCAAAATTTGAGTTCGTCAATTTCTTCTGGTTGAAAGAAGTCTTCCAGGACAACAAAGCCATTTTTTTCAAACTATAAAAATTAAAGTATTTTATTTGGTTGCTAATTATATAATTAATCATAATTCTTGATTTAAATTATTTAATTATTTTTTAATAACTCAATCAAAAATTTAATATTTTTTTTTCGTACAAATAATAAGTATTTCTTCTTACCACCTCTTAATAAAACAAAATATATTTGATAATATATATTATTAATATAATTCATACGTTTATAAACATTCGTTTGTTGGTTATATACTCGTATATATGTACATTGCATATGTATGTACATATAAACAGTTTAGTAAATACATCAAGTTTGATTAGGGTCTGTTTTTCTTATATTTTCAAAATATTATTAATTTAATTATTTACTAAAATTTTATTATATCTGTTGCTATTTATGATAATTATTTGTACCTTTTCAATAGCAAAACTTACAAAAAGAAAAACAAAACTTACTTAGGTAAAATATGTAGAAAATTAAACCTTTTTTGTTAGTCTTTATCCTTTTATTAATTTATTTATTTATTTTTTAAATTCATTTATGCTTACATGTAGGATTATTAAAAAAATAAAGAATTATTTACAGATTATATACAGTTAATGTATTAAAAAGAAAAAAAAGAAATAAATTAATAAATTAATTTATAAAATAGTTGAATAATTGAGCGGAACGTGATTCTACAACGACATGATCATAATTGAACCGGAACATTTTTTTTAAATATTTAAATCAAATATTAAAGAATTTCATAATCTACTTATAGTCTACAGAAAAACTGATTCTTTTCCTTTACTGCAATTTAATTACATATATCGTGAAATTTGTGGTAGTACTAAAAAATTCCTCCAATATTACGGATGAATCAGGCGAATAAGCGTGAATCGGCGAGTTCAGAATTCAGAAATAGAAAGGCGTGCACGTGGGCGTCCATTCTTCTCCGTGAATGGTCATGTTGCAACCTTCCGCGTTTCACGAGTCTGCGAGCCCAGATCTTACATGTTCATTAAAAATGTGATTCAGTTCATATTCTAGATTGTTCTTTCAATCAATTTCTTATTTAATGATTAAATATCTCCAGAAGAAACAAGCATAGAGATAATTGTAGATCGTCAGATCGTAGATTAATTTCGTAGCGATAAATTACCATTGATAACGAGTCTTTGTTCTTAGTAATCATAGCACGTTTAAATGTATACTGCGCATGTCAGTCTCATGCTATTGTAGATTATGCCTTACGATGTCGAATCATTTGGAGACAATTCTTTGTTGAAATACAAATCTTATATTCAATAGCATAATAAAAAAAAGGAAGAAAAAAAAAATGAACAAATTAGTAAAATTGAATTTGTCAATTATTTTACATTATATTTGAAAAATTATATTAAAAAAGGAAGTAAGTGATTTTATTGGTTCATTTATGGTTTCGAATAAATATATTTATTATTTCATATTGTAAATATCATAGTATTTGGAAATAAAATGATAATTACGTAGATCATTTTCAGAATCATTGAATGTTATTCCACTGCAAATTAATCAAGATATATCTGGCAATATGAAATTTGCAGTATTAATCCAAAGTTAAATAAAAACATCTTTTGAAAGGAAAAAAAAGTTTTTGATGATTGTCATATAATATTCTGATGTATAATTTCACTTTTAACTACATTTTAGTCTGGAAAAAGGAAAAAAATAGTGAAAAACGAAAGGATTGTTGCAATGAGAAGAGAGGATTTTCAATAAAGAAGCATGGTATATAGAACAGAATGTGCGCATTAATCTTCTATTTTGTACAATGCGCGCAATACTTTACTTATTGTACCTTAATGTTAAGTTACGATTACAAATATACCATATCGTATTCTCACGTTAAACTGTCCATGCATCGATTATGAAATTATAACTTTATTGATTTCTTACCGTGTTTTAGGGTATGTTAGAGTGATACATTTAAAACAATTTATGTTAATTTAATTATTATTAGTTATACAAAATTTTATACATATAATTATAAATGATATAAAGTCTTTATTTTATCATAGTCACTTCATCGAATTTCTTATGTTTTCATTTTCAGTCCACCTGCTTTTCTGTCGATATTGAATTAAAAAATACTTAATTTCTTTACTAACTGAAAATTCACACCTACATAAATAATATATCACTTAGTGCGATAAATGATTCTCTGTAATCATAAAAAAATCAAACGCATCATTTGTGAAAAGAATAATTACATATCTAATTATTAACTTATTCTGTTAAATGATGTTGTTAATTGAAGTCTCTTAAACTGATTTTAATATTCCATTAAAGAAATTAACTTTTCAACTGCGGCGTATATCCATTTTTCGAAATTGCGTGGGAAAAACAAGAACTATGTTTCCTCGTCCAGATATACGACATAATGTTCGTTGGCCTCTCTTGGCCGTCTAATTGTCACTTTTCTTAACCGGAATCTTAATATAATGCAGCGTATGATTGCTTGAATGAATATAAGTTCTTGGATGAATTATATTTTCATTATATTTGTTTGTTTGTTTCTTCTGAATTTATCTTTATCAAATTTTATTTTCAATTGTGATGTGTAAACATTAATGTAGCAATTCATCTACATAAAATAGAATTATAACATAGTAAATTTTGGCTCTTCTATATGTTTTATAGAAAATTATAATAATTACTTTTATA